GCTACCAACAGTCCCACAGGTATTTCTGACTTTGAAAAGCCAGGCTACAAGATTTCTGTCTTTGTTGTCAGTGGTACTTAGCCAAGCTCATACATAGTTCATCTCTGGCCAGAAGAGAAGCCAAGGAGCCTGCAAGGTACACTCACACTGTATATCACTACAGAACACTCAGGGCAACCCAGTACTAACGCTTCAAGACAGATCTAGGCATAAACCCCCATTAATGGCAGCCATTGAGGTGACAGAGAAGTGACTTCACACTGTCACCCTTGGAAGTCTAAGGAGCACTCTGAAGCTTTAGGGATCTTGACTCAGCACAAACCTAGATTTGTGGTTTTGACACTGCAAAGGATTGTAGGAGTAGCCTTGATGACAAGGATATTTCAATAGGTTTGAGCATGAGGACATGTCAGTGCAGTGAAAGCAGTTGGCTCAGGCCCTGCTGCCAGTGCCTCCAGCTGAGTCCAGCAGCATGCTGTGTGTGATCCTCTGAAAGCCTGAGCCAAAAGAACCTCTGCCTTGCCGGGCTTTGGTGGCGCTTGCCTTTAATCCCAGCACTCGGGAGGCAGAGGCAGGAAGATCTCTGTGAGTTCGAGGCCAGCCTCCTCTCCAGAGTGAGTTCCAGGAGAGGCTCCAAAGCTACACAGAAAAACCCTGTCTCGAAAAACCAAAAAAAAAAAAAAAAAAAAAAAAAAAAAAAAAAAAACAACAACAACAACAAAAAACCTTTGCCTCTCTGAAGTTGAGTCTTGGCATCAATTTGGGAGGAGCCACATGCAAAGAACCCCAAAACCTATGATGGCTTATCCCAAACTGTGATTTGTCTGTCTCTGTGAATTCACAAGGAGCCATTGTAAGGAATGAGAGGGGCCCACCAATATTAGGCAGCAGTTGTGCCTGGATCTTGTCCTTTCTTTGCAGTGAACTTGTTGCTTGGCTGAAGAGTACCTGACTCAAGACTTTGGTCATTGAGAGCTTTTTTTTTTATTGTCTGTTTTTAACACTGAACATCTGTGATCACCACTGATCTGAACATCGTTGAGTGTGCTGACCGGTGGGTTGGGTTTGGGCCTAACTGTTGATTACCGTTTGTTTTAGATTTAGTTTGAGCATTTGCTTGTTTATTTTGTTACATACCATTGTCTATTATTCCCTATGCATTTATTTTACATTTTACATTGATTTATTTTTCACTTTGACTTTTCTTAGTCTGTATTATCTGGAAAGGTTAGGAATTTGATTCTCCATGGGATTTGGAGCATACACACCTACTTTGTTACCTCACTCAGCCTTTCCCTGTGCTTATAAATTCCCCTATCATGGTAAGCATCTTCTGCCCCCCATGCCACTCATGAAAGTTAACAGTTCTGGGCCATCTTGGGGGCCAACATTATCTTCATGGCATCACAGTGTCACAGACAGGGTGTCATCCTTTTGCTGCCCATATATATGACAGTAAGGGTCAGGAATTACATCATGACTGCAGAGATGAAGGGATGTGCAGTAGTTGGAGTCATTACAGAATTGGAGGGTCTGAGTGACAAGTACCTTGAACAAGCCTGTGTGTTCATTCTCTATCTAGTCCATAACCATGTCTCTAAGCCAGACTGCCCATACCTGACTGAGTCCATTCTCCGCAGTTGTTACTGCTGCTGTTGAAACCCGAATGTTGTCCACAGGGTTTGAATGGGAGAGGTTTCATTGACATCCTCTTAAGTCTCTGAGTGCTTGGTCTCCAGCAGGGGGTTGTAAACCCCATGGCAGTGAAACCCAAGGGTTCATTGGAGATGACAGGATATGCCAAAGCCATGAAAGCAGGTGCTTCATACCCACCTTTCCAAGTGTCCAGACATGAGTTTCCATGTCTTCTCTAGAGCCTGAACCAAAGCAAATCCTGTATAGAACCCACATGCTGCTGCTGCTTCCTAGGGAATTGGTCATGGCAGTGAGAACACTAATGCAGTTCTTGGACACAGAAAGTGATGAATTTTGGGGTTTATTTCTGCGTGTGAATAGCTGCCACTGGTTCATATCCTCCCAGGACATCAGGGGATCCATTATGAGGAGTTACAGACTCTGCCCACATGAGGCACACTCTCTGGGGCTGGGATTTCTAACTCTGAAACAAGCTGTAGGCTGGTTGTCTGCAGAGTCACTGGACTCAGACACTGGCGCACATTAACTTTGAGAGTACTCATCTCTGAATAACGGACACTGCTCATCTGCTTTGACATCCAAATAGAGAGTTTGCTTGCTGGTGTTGGAATTACAACTCTTAATCGATTCTTGGTTTAATTAGTGCTTTCCATTCATCTTTTTTTTTTTTACTGTCCCCCCATTTCTATCCTTCAGCATGACTCTTTGACATTTCTCAACTTAATTTTTTTTTTTTTTTTGGTTTGAAAGGTTTGTTAATGTGGACAAGCTGTAAGAAACAAGATACTTCATAATCATGGGAATGTTTATCTCATCTACCTGTGCTATCATCTCCTACAGTCTCTGAAGCCCTTAAATTCACTCACTTCTCTCCTGGTAGCTGTCTTCCACACTTGCTGTGTCCCACCCCAACACCCTGCACAAGAGGCCCAAACCATGTCATGCGTATCATTAGCTTCAGTCCATTTCATTAGAGATTCCCAGTGTCAGGGAGGGCTACCATCCTTTAGATGCCCACCTATATGAGTTTTAAAGGGATTGAATATCTGAAGAGATGAGGTCTGTAGTAGTCAGAATTCTTAGAGTGCAAAGTGCATTGTCGTAGAGCATAGGTTTAATCTCTAGTCCCCACCTGTGTCCCTCACAAACTTCAGCACAGAGTTTCAGCCTGTTCTTGTTACTATGGGACATTTTACCTGGTTACTATGTTATCTAGTTACTAGATTTTTAAAGGCAAAGTGTCCTCTTCAGGTTTGATATTGGAATGCTTGGGTTCTAGCAGGAGGTGCAGTTTGGGAATGTCATAAAAGCCCAGGGATGTGGGAAGCAGCAGCAGAATTTGGTGACTGCACGCAGGAGGGTTCTGCCAAAGTCATGTACCCAAGTGCTTCAGACCCATCTTCCCAAGCCCCCAGCTCCTCATCATCAGTACCTCCTTGACCTCTGATTGCCTGAGAGTTGGGTTATCCTTTGCCCTTCAGGGTGCATCTTGTTGGAGATTTGCTCACAACCTTGACATAATTTATACAGTCCCTGGAGCTGGATAGAGCAACATCTCTGGGCTATTTCTGGCTGTTGCTGGACATTCCTTACTGTGACACCACAACAAGCCTTCGTGAGAAGTCCTGGAAATCTGTTCCCATAGGCCCTGCAGAGGGCTTGGGCTTGTCTTGATGCTGCAGAGCAACTCTTGTGGGGTGGAGAGCAGCCAGACTTCTCCATTTGTCCTGACCACCTGGACTCTAGGGAGTCTCTTGGACCTTGACACTGACAGATTTCCTCTTCTTGGTTGGATTTTGTGTTCTCCTTTCTTTTTTCTCACATGCAACCAACGCTTTTTGTTGCTTTGTAGATTTCTGCTCATGTGTTCATTTTTCTTAATTGTTCCGTTTAAAAATGTATTGCCATGTTTTGTTTTCATTTTTCTTGTTTTAAACCTTATCTGTGTGATGTAAGGCCTTACCTTGTAAAACATCTGGAGATGCATAGTGACCTGGGAACATTTCCTCTGCTTTGTTACATTGCAGATCCCCCTTGTGTGTATCCAAACAGCCTCCATTTCAATTAAGGATCCACCTAAGGCTCCATGGCTCTAGTCAGGATCACCATCTCCCTGGGCCTGGGGTGTTACAGACACAAGTCTCATGTCTATTTCTACTTCAAAAAATGGATGAGCATGGTGGTGTTCACTGAACATCCTCCCAAGCTCATTGTCTAATAGATTCCAATGAAATTATCTTAGAATTCCTGGTAAAACTCACTGTGAACATGAAGTATCAACTCTGTCATGTGTTTTTGGAATACAGGTCAAGTACCAAGGAATCTGATTAACACTTTTACAATTGGATGGTCATCAATGACATTGTAGCATACCCCATTATCTCTTTCTCTGTCTCTCTTCTCTGTCTCTCTTCTCTGTCTCTCTCTCTCTGTCTCTCTCTCTCTGTCTCTCTCTCTCTGTCTCTCTGTCTCTCTCTCTCTCTCTCTCTCTCTCTCTCTCTCTCTCTCTGTGTGTGTGTGTGTGTGTGTGTGTGTGTGTGTGTGTATCTGTATGTGATTGTTTTAGGAGGTCAGCCAGGGTGGAATCTTGGCTTTCAAGGCTAAGTTTGGAGGGACCTTTCCTTGTGTCTGCTGATGGTTCTTCAGGAGAACTGAACTGCAATATACTGCAAGGACAGTATGTAAGTCCATCATGCAATCTGTTGGTCTGAGGATGTACTTGTTAGCAGAAGTTGTATCCCTCCTTCCATCTTAGTCCTAAATCAACCCCTTTGCCTGTTTTGTAACACCCAGAATTTATCATCACAGCCAGGGTGTAGTAGCTTTAAGGCAGCAAATGGTTTGTAGGTTTGTTAACATCCTATCAAGGTTGGTGTCTCTTTTATGGCTTAAGAAATCTCCTTCTTTCAGGATTATTACCACTCTAGAGTTAAATCACACCACACACACCCCCAGGATGCGCTACACCACACTTGTCTTTTAATACTGTATGTCTTGTCTCACACCTCAATCATTTGTATCTTCTCTCTGGGTAATTGTTTTGTCAGACTTCTTCATCGTCTCAAGTCACCAGATATTTGTTTTTTCGTTCAACCTCTAAGTGACCACTTATTTTATGTCTGATCTTTCTTATGCTTTCTTATAATTGATTTAGGATTTGGGTTGGCCCTCAAGACTATGATTAGGCTGTTGAGGTAGCTATGATTTTCATGATGTTGAAAATGAGAGCCATAAACTCATCCTAGACCTGCTTTCTTTCTGTCTTTTATTTCTAGCAGCTTGTGGTGGTCCCATCCCCCAACTGTCAAGGTGGGGAACATGGAGGAAGAAATTCCACACATGAATCTCTGTGATGAAAATTTACTAGAACCACCGAGAGAAACTGATCCAGGGTGTCCATCTCCACCAATGGAGATACTATGTGTGCCTTAGGACCCATGGCTGAAGGGACCCTAGAAATCAAAGGAACAAATAGGCTCAATGATGCCCTAGAAAAAACCAATATTGTCAACAGGAGAAAAAGTGATACTGTCATCCTTGGTGAAGTGTGTCAGGTTCCAAAGAACCAGTGTGAAGATCCTGCCACCCTCCCTCCCACCCTAAGGAGGGCTTGGAGTTAACCTGCCTTGCTCACACTCGTGGTATATGAAGAAAACAAAAGCAGGAATTCAATGAAGTGAGGAAAAGCAAGAGGTCCTCTAGGTCCAGCTATCCAGATTTATACAAGCTGCTGGATAAAACCCTAGAATCCCAAGTAACAAATAGGCACAATGTTGCCCTAGCAAAAACCAATATTGTCAACAGGAGAAAAAGTGAAAGTAACATCCTTGTGGATGTATGGCCGGTTCCAAAGAGCGATTCTGCAGGTCCTCCAACTCTCACTCCCACCCTAATGTGGGCAGGGAGTGAACCTGAATTGCCCACATAAATGGCATCTGAAGAATACAAAAGGCTAGAGTTGAATGATGTGAAAAAGAGCAAGAGGTCGTCTAGATGCAGCTGTCCAGATTTATCCAAGGTACTGGATATCAGCTGGACTTAGAATTCCATCCTATGGTATTCTCCTGTGCCCGGCTATAACAACAATAAAAACTCAGAGGACACAGAGTCTACTACCTCATCTGGTGACAGTGACCCATGGACTACCTCTCCTGCCCTGAGGACAGCACTTCTTATAACTCATCTCCCCATGATGCGTAGGAGGCTGAGAGTGAGGAGACGGGCAGCACCAACATGTTCAGTCTCACATCCCTCCAAGGACTGTGCTCCATGGAAGACACCAGCAGCACATGGATGCCAGAAATGCAGCATAATACTGAGGAGGCTGAGAGTGAGGATACGGGCAGCACCATCAGGCTCAGTCTCTCCTCCCTTGATGAGCTGCGGTTTCTGGAAGACACTTGCAACACAGGGATGCCGGGAACACAGCATGATGCTAAGGTCACCACTGACATCAGCACATCTAGAGACCCGAATGAAAGTGATTTACAGTACAGTGAGAGAACAGATGACTAATGACATCCTGGTCTGTCCTCGGAATGAGAACCCTGAATATTAAAACCTCGACAAAGTAACAGTTGAAGAGTCACCATCCATCTCTAGCAAGGACCAGCCCCAGGAGGAAGCCACAGGCTCCAAGAAGAAGCACAGAAAAGGCTGGAAAGGGGTAAGAAGGCGGATTAGTCGCCTGGTTTCCTGTTTATGCTGTTGCCTCCTCACCCCAAAGACAGAAGACACAGTCCCCAGGTAAGGGACAGCAAGGCATGGGAAATGGAGTCCCAAGGAAAGCGCGTAAGCAAGCCCAGTGACTTCCCCTAGTGTTATTTCTTTTGTGAATTGCAAGGCCTTTTGTCATTGATATTCTGCATCCATGGATAGGACATGAACCCTAAGATATCTATGACCCTAGAAGGAGTTTCCTACTGTACCCCTTTATGTGGATGCTGGGCAAGTTGAACCTGAAGCAGAGAAGTAAAGGATGCAACCAGGGGAAGTGTAAGGGGAGAGAAGAGAATTGGGCCTGAGGTCTGGGAATAGGTAGGGGGAGAGGAATCTCATGGAGAGCTATGGGACAGCAGGGTGGCTCTGTGTGAAGTCCAGCTGATTTCAATGTCACTAACAGAGTCCTTTGCTTGTTTCTCTTTCAAGGTCTGAAGAACAGGTCTGGAACCACGATTTCTAAATCTTGGAACTCTGTTCGGCCTGGTGTGGCCCACAAGCCACAGGAGGGAGCCAGGCCAGAACTCGATAGAGCTGTGTAACCCAAACACGATGTTGCGGATCAGACACCTCCAGCAGCCTGGGCACAAGCTCTCTACCCCTCCTCTCCCTGCAGTGGGCTCTTTTAGATCCCACAACTTCAACTCATAGTTATCTGAGCATGATGGCTGGAAAGAGAAGATAGCCCCACAGCCACCCTGTTTTAAAGAGCCAGCATTCCATCTTCTGCAACCCCAGCATACAACTTGGTTTTCCACATGACTTGAGGTCTTCAGCACTCCTTCACGCATCTTGATGTTTCTCATAGAGAAGATGTAAAGAAGTCCATACACCTTGTAAGCCCAGGAGGTGAGGAGGCCCAGGATGAGGGGCAGCGAGGAGTAGAGGGTCATGTGATACCTATGAAGAGAGAAGACAGTGTGAGGGTAAGGAGGCAAGGGCATGAAGCTGGGTTAAGGGGGAGGAGCATCTCCCCATAGCAAGTTCAAGTTCCAGTTAAGCATCTGAGAGGAAGGGAGGAGCCTGCAAGGTAGGGGCTGGGACCTTAGAGGGGCAGGGTTAGGAGCAAATTCCCTGGGAGAGCTGTAGGGCTGTAGGACATAAGGTCACTGCAGCAGAAGATCATGACATCCCAGGGAGGTCAAGCCAAACCCTTCTCAGGACCTCTCTCTTTCTGCTCTAACCAATCTTGGACTGCTCGGGTAACTAACATTTGCATCCTTTTCTTCACAGCCTCCTTCCACCAGGGATCCATGTTGCTCTCTCCCTGTCCCAGAAGGCCAGAAACTGGTGTAATACTTTTATACCAGTGAGTGATTCTTTGCCTTCAATTTACTAAAATGCCAGGATTTCTATGTCTACTCTGAAAAGGTAAGGAGGGCTTGAGATGGCTGTGAAGCCTCATTCCAGAAAAGACTCGCATCCTTGGACTACTTTGTGCCAAGTGCCCACATTTAGGATCTAGACTAGAAGCAAACATTCATTTTCAGGGAGGTAGAAGATGTCAGCCATGATGTAGTGTGCATTCTTGCTGAGTGAGGTGTCTTCAGGTCCTCATGTCACCATGCAGGCTGTGAACAGATCACTGAGTCAGTGGGGACTGCCCAGATGACAGGGAATCAAGAGTCTTGTCGGAGGAGATCATTTAGATCAGTGATTCTCAATCTTCCTAATGCTGTGACCCTTTAATACAATTCTGCATGCCTTGGGGAACTCCAAACATACATTCATTTTTTTGTTGCTACTTCATGAGTAGCAACTGCTATGAATAATAATGTAAATATCTGTGTTTTCTGCTGGTATTGGTGACCCTATGACAGGCTCATTGGACCCCCAAGCAGGTTGAGCCCCTCATATTGAGAACAATTGATTTAGATGAAGCATTTTGAATTCCCTGAGGGTTTCTTTGAGCGGAAGATGGGTTTCTGAATCCTGATATTCATGTAGTTCACCAATTACTTTGGGCTTTCTTTACTCTGCTGAGAATGCTGGCATTGGTCTTTGGGAATATGGGCATCTTGTTAGTTTAGAAATTGCAATCCACTTCCATGGCCAGAGATGAGAGCAGCTTGCAAACTCAAGTCTCTGGGGCAGCCTGCACTGCCCAGCCCTCCTGGCAGTGATGGTGACATGGGCCAGCATGTCTTGGTAAAGAGGGATTGACACTTGTCTCCCTGTTTCTTGAAACATTCTTCAGATGACCAAGCATGGGTGAGATAGGAACTTGGGGCAGATAGACACAAAATACTGACTTTTCTGGCATTCACCTACTGAATTTGCCCAATTCTGCTCTGTTTCTAATCTACTGCCATGACAAAGCACTGTGACTAAGGCAACTTAGGAGAGAAAACATGATCCTTAGGGATCCAAATTGCAGAGGGTGACAGTAAATGACCATCATGATTGAATCCAGCAATAGCAAGACTGGCATGGCAGTGGACCTGGAGCTGACAGATTATCTCTGATTCCCAAGCATGACACACATGCAGAGATTACTTCGAATGGGTTTGGCTACTGACACCTCCTCTAAACAAGACCATACTTCCTCTTCCTTCCCAAACAGTTTCACCTACTGGGGATAAGTATCCAAACATGTTCATCTATGGGGGTCATTCTTATTCAAACTGACACCAAATATTAACCAAGAGATGGGAAAAGGAAACTCATAGGGTAGCATCACCCTGGGATCTGACAGTTGATATCCCAACCCTTCTGCTCTTGTTGAATTTCCAGAGAGTAGATAACACCAGTGTCTCTCTTTCCATGCAGATGTCCTACAGTTCTAGACCCGAGCCTCCATGCACACCTCTGGATGATTTAAGAGACTCAGGCACTCCACTTTTACCCACAAAGAAGCTTCTTTTGTTCTCTAGTTGAAGCTCCTTCAACTAGAGGAGCCCCATTTCTCGCTCTGTACCCAACGGATGATCATTATCACCTACCAAAGTCAGAATAGGCTAGATGGAGACACTATGTTTGGAAAAAGATCAAATAACAGGTACACCCCACAATTCTCATTAGGAGACAGAACACACAAGACCATCAGTGTTCTGCCATAAGTGACAGTGGAAGAGCCCATCAACCTCTGTAGCAAATTGCTCAAATAGGTGGCAAATTCAGCTCTAGTGTTTTCCAGCCCCTATCTTAGATACAGTAGTCAATGTGAACATAAGTCCTGGACCAGCCCCTGGGCTGGAGTTCAGGGAGTGTCTGGTCAATCAACTTCTTGTCTCGTGAAAGACTTCAATGCCAGTAAGAGATGACTTCCACAGTTTTTCTCATGATGCCTGTCAAGTGGGGAAAATGGCAAACTGTATGTGACTATTCCATCATGATCTATTTCCTGTCGTGGTGAAGCTAAATGGGGCCCATGGCCAGAGAATTCAGGGTCAGTACCATGGAAGCAGTCATATGTCTGTCCATCTGTCCTCTAATCAAAGGCTTACTAGTTAGGTCCAATGGGAGATAAATCTGTCCCTGACAGACAAGGTCACAGAATCTGTTAGGGACACCATCCAATGAGCCAGGCCACTTCCTTTCCAAGCCCCAAAGGCACCAAGCCTCACCTACCCTGTGGACATTGCTAAGAAATGTATATAGTAACTTCTGTCCCCATTTAAGCTAGCTAATCCACACTGCCCAGGTGAACATAAGTCAGGCAACATGTTTTTTGCCAAACTTCCTGATTGCTCAGGCTGCTCACAATCACAGAAAATGGATAATAACCTATATCTTCCTCAGTTTGCAGGCTCTCATGAGTCCTAAAACTCTATAACAGAGGATCGTATTCAATCACATGCTTTCCATGCTTCACTTACAGAACTGCAACAGAAGATTGACTGCCATACAGAGTCCATGACCTATTTGCTCTGTTGACTACATTAGACTCCTGAGAGATATCATGAGATGACAATCTAGCCACCAGTTGCCCTCCTAGTGTTAGGAATAACTCACTGCACTAAGTACTTGCTCTTCAAACATGAGGACATGAGCTCCAAAGCCTTGCATGTCAGTGTTGGCATATACTCCATCTCTATGGAGATGGCAGGGAGAATTCCTCATGTTGTACATATGGTCTAGGCTCACTGACAACTTCTAGCTTCAAGGAGTTTGTCTCAGAAACGAAGGGAACTATGACACTTGAGACCTCTCCTATCAAACAAGGGGGAACACATGCAAGTGCTCCAGAACACAGAACTGAACCCTCCATGCACACACACACACACACACACACACACACAAATATGAGAGGCGTGAAGAAAAAGGAATAGAACAAAACATGGATAAAGTTTTCATCCTTCATAAACGATTGTTCTCAGATGTGATCTGTTTGTCAAGCTGCAATAATTTTGGCTGTTTTCACCTGCATTCAAATGAAAGGCTCCTCCATAACTGTGGTTTTATTTACTTTTTGTCTCTTCAGGTGAGTCTGCTGAAAAGCCCCTGTATGGCTGGAATCCCTGAAGAACAACAGGGTGAACTGTTTTCAGCTGCCTCTGTGTGACTGCCACAGAATGGCAGCTCTTAGCTGTGTGTGGGAACCTTCCCACAGGGACTCAGAACTGTGGACCCTATGGGTCCTTTCTGTTTGATGGTGACACCTCAGGAATACATATGAACCCGGAGTGGCGTTACACTCTCGACAGTTGGAAGAAAATTCCCAGGGCTGACTTGGAAATTCCTTTATTTTATTAAATGTTCACTTGATTTTTCATCCTGTCCCATGTCTTATCCAAATAAAACCAGAAAAAAAAAACACAAGAAAAACCAGGGTATCCAGTCTCAAATGTATTGAAATATTGCAGCACAAGGAAGATCTCTTTCAGAAAGTTTTAATCCTGTGTGCTCTTCACTGTAGCATGACTTCTTGCAGTTGTCCCACACCTAAGCTTTGCCATAAGCACTTGTAGCAGCTCTTTGGTTTGGGCACCATGTCTTATTGGTAGCTGAGTGTGAAGCCCACAGGCATGTCAAGACTGTGTCATGGCCACCGGGATGCCCATGCTTCTTGATGGCACTGACATGAGGAGCACAGGAAAGATCTAGGAAGTGCTGCAGTGCTCAGGGTCTCGCGATCACAGGCTTCTCACCTGGTTGCTCGGGTGGCTGGCTGGAATCTCTCCTGACTCTGCCCTCTGTCAGATGTAGGATTGGTGAAGATCTTTTCCCATTCTGTGGGCTGTCAATTTGTCGTACTGACGGTTTCCTTTGCCTTACAGAAGCTTCTCAGTTTCAGGAGGTCGCATTTATTAATTGTCGATCTCTATGTCTGTGCTACTTGTGTAATGTAGAGAGAGTGGTTTCCTGTGCCTATTCGTTCAAGGGTATCTCCCACTTTCTCTTCTAGAAGATTCAGTGTGGCTGGGTTTATGGTGATATCTTTGATCCATTTGCACTTACGTTTTGTGCATGGTGACAGGTATGGATCTATCTGCAATCTTCTGCATGTCCGAATCTACTTGTGCCTGCACCATTTGTTGAAGATGCTATCTTTTCACCATTGTATAGATTTAGCCTCTTTGTCAAAAATAAGGTGTCCGTAGGTGTGTGGGTTAATATCAGGGTTTTTCAATTAGATTCCATTGGCCTAGCTGTGTATTTTTTGTGCCAATACCAAGCTATTTTCAGAACTATGGCTCTATAATAGTTTGAAGCTTGAAGTCAGGAATGGTGATGCCTCCAGAAGACCCTTTATTTACAGAGTTGTTTTGGCTATCCTGGGTTTTTTGTTTTTCCATATGAAGTTGAGTACTGTTCTTTCAAGGTCTGTGAAGAATTGTGTTAGGCTTTTGATGGGGATTCCGTCGAATCTGTAGATTACTTTTGGCAAGATTGCCATTTTTAATATGTTGATTCTACCTATCCAAGAGTATGGGAGATCTTTCCATTTTCTGATATCT